TACACTGAATAAAAATTAATATTTATAAGTAAATATGTTTTTTTGGGTTGTGACATGTTTCTTCTTTGTTTTTATCAATTTTCCAGTAACTATAAACTAAACTTTAGCTTTCGGTTCAAGATGAATACACACCATCTCCATTAGCAAGTTGTGAGAAGTAATACTATCATTATAATTGTTTCAAGTATTTATTTTTTTTTGTTCAAAATTATATTTGTGTTTGTTATATTTAAGCTTATTGAATTGTTTTGAAATGGTATATATGTTTTCTAATTTCTTTCAATTCATAATTATTGTTAAGGGCTAAAGTAAAAAGTAAATGAATTAATTTGATTGTTAGAACTCTAATCTTGATTTATTAGAAAGAATAAACTAAGTTAAATTGTCAAGTTTTTAAACATTTGCTTATAATAATTTCATAGACTTTACTCCTATGGTTATTGTCGAATGAATGAAAATTGTTTTCAATATTAAATTTGTTTGATAGTAAAAAATTGATGAGAGAGTTTTTCTAACTAATTTATTAATAATCTCATTAATTTCTCTCAGCTATAAGAGATACCAAATTTATTTGCTTCATATAAAATAATATTTATTTTATTTTGATAATCAACAAATTTATAGGAATGGATGCATGACCTTTGAACTGAATTAACGACATATCTATTTTTTATTTTTATTTTTAGAATTTTGTTTCTTTAATTTTTTATTCAAATCCCCCATTATTTTTTATTTTAATATATTATAGAAAGATTAAACTATATTTTTTTCGGGTTTGATTTGGTTTTCATGATTATATTATAAATTTATTTTGTTTGTAATCATAAAATTAGAATTAGAATTTGGCAATTTCAATAACCAACCACTCGTGTATAGTATATCCACTAATAATACATAATTGGCAACTTTTATTTTGAAATTTGTTGACACTTTCCACCAAGGATCTTGCAACACCGTTTAATTTCCTCTATTTGATTTTGTTAGGACCCTTTATTTAATCTTTCTAGGGATTAAGAGCACATAAACTTTAGAAATAGTTTTATTGATATTGTTCTGTCTATTTTTAATTATGGAATGATGAATCCTAAAGCATATCTCCTTTTCTAATAAATATATGAACCCTAACCTATTATGTAGCACCAACTAATTATGCATGTTGAGTATTGTTATTCTATATAGGTTTGGATTATCTAGTGGATCAGGCAAATCTTTTTTTTAATGGTCCAGCAATTCATCCTAATTCATTATTGTCTTGATTACGAGCCTCTTAATTTGTCAATAATACTATTCACACTTGATATCAATTTATATTTTCTAACACTATGGTGAAAAATCATTATTGGTGGATTATTTTTTTTGGTTAAACAACATGTCAAACAAAAAAGGCTTAATGTCATACATATGAATTTTATATTTAATCATCCATTATATGATTGTTGAATGACCAACAAGGATTGGATAAGCAAATAGACAATACTAGAAAAACTCGCATTTGAAAAAACAGTGGCCTCGACACTTGATATATAGCACGAATAAAAAATAATTAAACACATAAACAAATTGGCAAGTAGGGTTCTGAATTTTAGGAGAAAGGGTCGGCTTCACATTCAACTTATTGCCATTTTAACGCATAATAAAACATTGAACACCTGCAATATTATCAATAATTTGTCGTCTCTTTGGTTTTATTAAGGCTACACACACTCTTGATTAAAAGAAATCATCGGCAAAACATATTTTTAAAATAGGAGGATAAGAAAATATATATGATATGATAGTTTGCTGCAAAAGGTAACATTAATTTATAAACAAGCCGAGAGATTAATGTCACTGGTTTTGTGCACCATGAAGAAGTCCAGAACCTTGGGAAGAAACTCGAAGCAGCAGGTGCTAACCCAATGCCAGATTAATGTCATGAGCATCTAGATTGGGTTCGGGATCTTTTCTTATGCCCCCGTGCAGGGACCTTGTATTTTTTAAAAAAACAAATAACATGGGTATTTAAACAGTTTATAGTTTATATATTTTAATTAATTTTATGGTTCTCAAGTTAATAATTATATAAATTTTTAGTTATTTTAAAATTTATAAAATTCAAATTAGTAATTTCTAAAAAACAAATTTAAAATTTAAATAACTCTATAAATTAATCCAACATGTTATGCATTTGAAAGTTAATTAATTAATTAATATATACAAAATCTTATTTTTTAATCAACGGAGTGTATATTTTCTATATTTTATTGGTTTTGGGGTAAAAAATATATATTTTAACTGTAAAAAAAAATAAAGAAAAAAACATTAACACCCCATCCAAGAGGTTTATTTTTTAAATCACGCACAAATATAATTTTATTATAGCGTAAAGCAACACACAACACGCTATTTAGTATTTTTGGGTAATTTGAGAAGTGATGTTTAAAATATTAAATATTTTAAATTATAAAGTCAATGCATAGGATGTCTGCTGGTAGCGTAAATAACAATTTTCCTACAGCATTTTAATTTTTCTTCACTCAAATTAAAATTAAAATAAAAATAAAGATGACAATTGACTCGACGGGGACCAATTTTGATTTTTCCAATCTTCACGTCATCTAAAATTTAGAAAGAGGTTATAGTCTCAATTAAAACGGGTCCCACTCATTTTATAATATATTTTTCTTTTAATTCGATCATAATTTTTTTTTGTCAAATCATCAATTAAAATTAAATATTTTATTGAATGATTAGCACTTTCACGTTGATTAGATATATTTAATTTTTTTAAATAACATAATTAGTAGACTTCTTATTTTTTTATTAGAGAATAAAAGAAGCAAAATTGTATTTTCTAAAGAGAATATAAATAGAAAAATGAAAAGAAAACAATTCTAGTAATTTGATTGTAGTGCCCGAATTGGAAACTAAGTGAAGTTGTGTACTGTTTTTTAATTAGAAATATATTAAAATAATATATATTTTTTAATTTTTAATATTATTATATAAAAATAATTAAAAAATACTTTTAAAATATTAGTTAATATTTTATTTAGTAAATGTTTAATTAAAAAATACTTTTAAAATATTAGTTTAATATTTTATTTAGTAAAAAAAATTTTAAAAGTAAATAAAATGTCAAACCTTACATGCAATGTAGTAAACAAACTAGACATTTAACTTATATTTAGTCGGGAGGTGTAATTTTGTTTTCAAAAAAATAATGGACATGAATATTATTTCAATGTGTTTTTTATATAAAAAAAAATTAAAATATAAATTAAAAAGATTATACAAGCAAGATCAAAATATTTTATAACATAAAATGAGACTTGCATCGATTATATTTACTGAACTTATTTATATAAATAAATAAAAAATAGATCTACATTCTAAAAAACTAATAACTTAAACAATAAACACAAAATAAAATTAACTAAATAAATCCACACCTTAAAAATATTACATAAGGCTAAATACATAATATGTAAAAACAAATATTTAAAAGCAATATAATTTAAAAACAAATATTATTTTAAAAAGTAAACTTCATTTGTATAAAACACAAATTAGAATATTATCTTGAAAAATAAAACAGAAACAAAACAAAAAAAAAACTTTTATTAAAAAAAGTCATGCAAAAATTGTGATCTAAGTTATGAAACCAGATAAATTTATAAAAAAACTTGAAGATAATTAAAAAACAAATATTAAAAAAAATAGTGCAGAATAATAAGATTGTATGAAAGTCCAATTTCCAACAAATCAAATGTTAAAAAATTAAATCAAGAAAAAAATTACACAAAAGAATAAAAAAATGAGGGTGAGAAAAACATTAAGAACCAAAATAAAAAACCAAACATATAAGAAATTACAATTTAAGGATTAAATTAAAAATAATAAAAACTTCTATAAATGAAAAAAAAACAAAATAAAAAATTAATAAATGAGAATTAAAATTGAAAAGTAAAAAACAAAGAGGAATATGATATACATTACTTGCTAGGAGATAGAAAGAAAAAAAAAATCAAACAATCATTAATAATAATTCAATTGCTGTAAGTTGTTACATGCCACTTTAAATGAAAAAAAACACGACAATATATTTATAAAAACAATAAAATGTCATTTATATCTACTAAGTGACATAACACATACAGCTTGAAGAACACATATTCTATTTACATGTTAAGTATGCTATATAAAATTACAGAAAATACCTCCAAATACTAAGTTTATGTTTTTTTTTCTAGAAAGAAGTTATTTATAAAAACAATAAAATGTCATTTACATTCATTAAGTGACATAACACATACAGCTTGAACAACACATATTTTATTTACATGTGTAAGTATGTTTTGATAACTTAAAATATTAAAAAATTATAAAAATACAAAAGGCCTCCACGCCCTTCAATAATTACACAAAATACTATATAAAATTACAGAAAATACCTCTAAATGCTAAGTTTATGTTTTTTTTTTCTAGAAAGAATTAATTATATTATACATTAAAATTTAAAAATATCAAAACACCTTTATCCAGCATCACAATAAGGTTTTGACTTGAAAGGAAAATTTGTATTTTTATTGTTAAGAAGTTTATATGAAATCAAAGATGCTCTTTGTCAAATGTTTTATATTTTATTTATTTTAAAAATAAAAAATATTTCTAATATATAAAAAAACATTAACACTCCCATGAGAGATACTTAATTTTTTGGACAAAAAATACAAATGTAATTATTATAGCCCAAAATAAAAGGAGTAAAACACGCACACCAATTATTATTTTAGGTAACACTTAACATGGTTGGAGGAGGCATTACCAATAAAGGATAGAAACGAAAGAAAAAAATGATTTTATTTAATTATACAAGCGAGTCATATAATTAATTATTTCTCCACAAACAGTGCACTAAACCACACCACAGGAAGGGAGTCATTTATTTAATTTGTCGTTTGATAACCACTTATTAAAATAATAATAATAATAAAAAAAATAGAGTGAATACACCACCAGCATTGAAAGCAAAAGAGCAACGGAAAGAAAGAAGGAAACCGAACCACCGCAATCACAACACCATTCCATTGGCTAGCTTTGGTGGTTGAGAAAAAGAAAGGAAGCGAGAAAGAGAGAGAGAGACAGAAGTCTCTCTAGATTATATCATATTTTACTATTTCTTGAAGCAAAGTCTTTGCTTACAAAATACAGATCTCTCTTTCTGTTGCTGTTATGTTCGGCTTATAATTTCTTGTAAGTGGTGCTAATTCTTATCATGCCTTTAGATCTTCCTTTCTCTTTCTAACCTTCAACTACCGCCCTCTCTCTGGTACTTGTCTCTCTCTCTCTCTGCTAGTTTTTGAATTGAATCATTCTTGATGATCCTGTTTAATTGATCCTGTTGTTTGCCGATTTAGGATCGATCGGAAATGGTGGTATCCGGCCCTATCACACCTGGACAGGTTCCATTTTCTTAAGCATTTTCTCTTCTTTTTATTTTTTTAAATTATGAATTTTATGTATTATAGACTCAATCTCATTGATTTATTGTTCAATTTGTGTGTAACGGAGAGAGGCTTTGCTCGGTTGTTGTTATGAAATGTACCAGGTTTCGTTTTTGCTTGGATTTATCCCAGTTTTTGTTGCATGGATATATTCAGAGTTCCTAGAGTATAAGAAAACTTCATCCCCTCACAAAGTGTGAGTTTCCTCTTACCTCAAATCACATTTTAATTTCTTGTCTATTCTGCGCTGCCAATGGTGAACTTTAGATTTGGCTTTATATATCTATGAACTGACACTGATCTTGGGGTAAATGCTAATGAACAGAAGTCTATCTTTGTTAAGGCAGGATTGCGGAGTTCCAAATGCTTGCTTGGTCCGTCTTTATATTGAAGAGAGTTTTAAATTACATATGCCCTCCTGTTTGTAGCCTATGCAAGATACTTATTTCGTGTGGATTAGCTGGTTAGATAAATAATTAGCTAGTTGAGATTGGAGTGATGGCCCTTATTTTATGATAGTGTGTGTAACTGATGATTAACTGGAGTAGACCGTTTAGTGTCAATTTAGTTGCCATTGTTTGAAGTTTGCTGATACTGTATAACCCATATTACTTTCATGCGTTAAAAAGAATCTAAGCTAGTAATGTGTAATTAGATGTTGATTGAATAACTTTTCTTCTACTTGTGGCACAGATGTGCTGATATCTTAATTTACATATTAATTACATTGGAAAATACACGTTCCAAAACTTTCTGATGCTGACCATGTGACTTATCTGGATTACAGTCATTCAGATAATAATCTGCTTGACTTGGAGAAGGAGACAATCAAGGAAGATGACCGGGCTGTTTTGCTGGAGGGAGGCCTCCCTAGATCGGCATCTGCCAAATTCCATAGTTCTGCCATCAAAATGAACTTAATTAGGTTGCTTGCCACATTATATGCAGTATTGTCATGGAGTTTCTTATATACGAATCTCTTGAAAGTTTTTTTTCTTAACTTCTGTACCTAATTGTCTTCCAGGTTTATGACTTTGGATGACTCTTTCTTGCTAGAAAACCGAGCAACTTTGAGAGCAATGTAAGTCATAAACGTTTTAGATAATGAATACATGCTTCTGTAGGTTTTCCTTGCTTTCTCTAGTTTTACCATACAAATTCTTGTAGGTCTGAGTTTGGGGCAGTCTTGTTGTACTTCTATATCTGTGATCGCACAAATATACTGGGAGAATCTACCAAGGTGCTTATTTCATGTCCATTGGTCATGTGTTTATTTGCCATGATTTCATCTCTGACAGCTTTGATTGCAATGAAATAATCTGCTCAAGTATATTAATGCTAATCCATTCTTATTTTACTTTGGGGTTTGATGTTCTCTGGACAGAGCTACAATCGTGACCTTTTTGTTTTCCTATATATTCTTCTCATCATAGTCTCATCAATGACTTCATTGAGGAAACATACTGACAAGTCAGCCTTCACTGGAAAATCCATGCTTTACCTTAACCGGCATCAGACTGAGGAGTGGAAAGGATGGATGCAGGTAATATCTTCTTGATTAAGCTTTTACTTGTACAGAAATTTTATGACTGCAAAATTCATAAAAGTTCTCAAACTTGTATTGAGCTATGCTTGGTTGACCACAGAGAACAAAATGTACACCTGCACCTTTCCTCTGGTGTACTTATAGATTGGAATTCGTTTTTGTAACACCAAATTTGCATATGATTATCGTGGCATATTTCTTTAGTCATGCTATGTATTTTTATATGGCCACAGGTAATGTGATTATTCTCACTTCTTTATTAATGTTATTCTGATATCAGGCTGAATAGATGAAAATCTGTCCCAAATATTTGATCTTTTATTCATCTAGTTAAGTGTATCCCAATTCTGATAAAAAATTCCCCAAGAAATCGGAAAATTATGTGTGGAATGCAATATGATTTTGCTTTCAATCATTTAAAGAAATCAGATTGGTATTCATTAAAATCCTTAGTCATATTTGGCAATCTGATGTGTTAGTTGGATATTAGAGATTGTTTACACTGCTAGCTCTGTATATAGAATAATTTGCTGCATTTGTTGTGTATAATAAATAGCTCTGCAACGTCAAAGGCCACATTAACTCTTTTTTTTTTCCTTCTGAAACAGGTCCTATTCTTGATGTACCATTATTTTGCCGCAGCAGAGATATACAATGCAATACGTATCTTTATTGCTGCATATGTTTGGATGACTGGATTTGGCAACTTTTCTTATTATTACATTAGAAAGGATTTTAGCTTAGCTCGCTTTTCTCAGGTCATATCACTGATTCTCTACACCTTATATTATTTCACTATAGCATGTTATATGCCATGTTTCTTTTCTTTCTATTTTTTCTTTTGGTATACATTTCTTATAAAAATGATTTTAAATGCATGTTACTTGGTGCAGATGATGTGGCGGCTCAATTTCTTTGTGGCATTTTGCTGTATTATCCTTAGCAATGACTACATGCTGTATTATATTTGCCCAATGCACACTCTATTCACTTTAATGGTCTATGGAGCGCTTGGTATTTTTAACAAGTATAATGAGAATAGCTCAGTGATGGCTGTGAAGATTCTTTCATGCTTTCTTGTGGTTATCTTGATTTGGGAAATCCCTGGAGTTTTTGACTTTCTCTGGAGTCCCTTAACTTTCCTATTAGGTTAGTATCTTACATATTTATCTTGTTTTGATTCACAATCATTTGCTTAGTGAACTTCAACTCTGTGTGGGCTTTAATGAGATGAGACTCAGTGTTAAAAAAGTTGCAGATTGTTTCATTTTTTCCCTTGAGACTCAGTGTTAAAAAAGTTGCAGATTTTTTCATTTCCCCCCCCCTTTGAACTGAAGATCAGTTATCTTCTGTTTGTTGTTTTTCTATTGTAATAATTGTAATGGCCTTAATTAGTCTCCATTGTTGTTCTGCATGTGTATCTCTCTTGTTATTTAATTTTTATTCTTTATTTTTTGTTGTCAAGAAAGAAATTTTTTCTTCTAGAATTATCCATAATGGAAATCGGGTCAAGTTAGCTTGATTAAGTGTCAAGATTCAAGTTCAGTTGGAATATCGTGATTGCTTTCCTGCTTCTGCATGTGCTTAATAATTAAATCTTAATGGCAGGCTATTCTGATCCTGCAAAGCCAGACCTTCCTAGGCTGCATGAGTGGCACTTCAGATCTGGACTTGATCGCTATATATGGATCATTGGGATGATATATGCATATTTTCACCCCAATGTAATTACTTGAACTGTGGTCACATTAAGTATTTCTTCTTGCTATCCCAACAACTAAAATTTCAAAAATGTCTTGAGATTTCAGATTGAGAAGTGGATGGAGAAATTGGAGGAATCTGAAACCAAGAAGAAACTGTCAATCAAAACAGGCATAGTAGCTGTTTCAGTATCTGTGAGTTGCATGACTCTGTCTACACATTATTACTGTTAGATTTTCTATAATCTATTTTTCATCCTTTGATGATGGTTTGATCTCTTTCTTTTTCCTTCCAAGGTTGGTTATTTGTGGTATGAATATATATACAAGCTGGACAAAGTTTCTTACAACAAGTACCACCCCTACACATCATGGATACCCATAACGTATGTATCAAGGATACATGTATATATTTGTGTTTGTGCGCCCTTTCCTTTTTCCCTTTTTAAGAAACTTATTACAGATGAAGGACACTTAGGGACCTCTATGAATGGTGTACAGAATATGTGTCCATAATATTGTCTAATTTACACTTCCAGCATCTTATTATAATATCTACGTTGTGCGATCCAGTGTTTACATTTGCTTGCGGAATTGCACTCAGCAGCTCCGGAGTTTCTCTTCGGCTCTCTTTGCGTATGTTATCTTCCCTGTATATATGTTTTTATTGGCAGTGACTTCTCATGGTTAGCCTTTTTTGTTTGAATAACCATGCTAATTTTGCATTAACCCTAATTTGTTTGCTTTAAATCCACAGTTGGCTTGGCAAGATAACTTTGGAGACCTATATTTCACAGTTCCACATCTGGCTGAGGTTTGAGGATCAACTATTTGGTTTCTTTCATTTTTACTTTTCTATTTCAATTTTTTTCTCCATTTTCATTCTTACCAGCCTGGATAATTTACTGAATTTGAATCATAGATAGATATCCTTAAAGTAGTTTTTATGGGCACCCTCACAAAGCTCAAGACATCACTAAACCAGCAATTGCGCTGTGAAATGCAACAAAAAAATCCAACCATGATATCATTATAGGACTTCACATGGATCCATTTTGGTTGTTACCTCTTTTGTAAAGCAATTCTAACAAGATTGTATGTTTAAACATTGCATGTCATTTAATAATCAAATGCTTATCTTTGCACATACCTTTTTGAGTGATGGACTATGGGCTTCTTTAAGAATCATGTGATCAATTGCAAGTTTCTTTGGCAACATGTTGATAGTTTTGAAGATGACATGCAATAAGTATAATGTTTGATGGCTTTTGTGAGAAAAGGGTGTAAAGTAGTAGTGTCAAGAAAATGTCATATTAGGTACTGAATAATTAAATATCTAAATAATTAAAACAAAACAGAGTACATTTTAATAAATACATTTCTGACTAGTTTCACAGCAAGTGACTAGACAAATTTGTGAATATGTTTTTGAATTCAGGAACTTGGGGCTAATGGAATAGCAATTTAAAATATTAGAAATATCCTTGCAAGAATTACAATTGGGGTTCTGCTTCTGGTCTGTCCTACAGGCGTTTCTTGTATGGGTTTTTATTGAACAAGTAATTTTATTAAAAGAAGAGAGCACAAGTTTGTAAATTCAGTACAGAAGATTAACCCTTGTAAACTGAAAATGAAAATAATCAATGAGATAGGGAAGGGAAGGGAAGGGACATAAATGATTGTTTATGAGATCATCCTTGTGTGCCTAATCTGTAACAAACCCAATATAAGTGTAGATTGTGGCTTCAAGTTAGCAGCTTCTATTTTTGTTCTTCTTTTCTTCTATTCTGTTGATATGTCTATCATCTTTTTTAGCTCGTTCTCCACATAGGTTCTCTTTTTAAATCATATCGATCTATGTTTAAAGAAACCTCATGCACGCTTCAATGGGTAAAGGTTGTGAAGAATTATAAAGTTCAAAAATTCATGAATATGCATAATGCACAGAAAAGAAAAACCTTAATAACAATGGCAAGTCTCTCTATTCATGAGAAAAAACACTCAGATGGGAAAGAATTCCACGAGTTTACAGATATCTATTTTGATAGAGCTAAGAGAAATGCATTTCTAATTTCCTGTCTTGCATTTGCAGATCGGACATGCCCAATGGACAGCCTAAGTGGCTCCTTTCTTTTATTCCAGAATATCCATTACTGAATTTCATGCTTACGACAGCCATCTATGTCCTTGTAAGTAAACTTGTTCTTGACCACATAATGATACCAGGAATAATGGTAGTAACAAAGACAATATTTATCCTTATGCTGTTATCTTTACTTGCTTCTGCAGGTTTCTCATCGACTTTTTGAATTGACCAATACACTAAAGACAGTTTTCATACCCACAAAAGACAATAAGCGGCTGTTTTACAATTCTGTTGCTGGGGCTGCTATTTCTGTGTGTTTGTACTGTGTTGCCGTCATTCTCCTTCACATCCCTCATTCACCAGTAAGCCCCTCACTTTCGTCATTCTCCTTCACATCCCTCATTCACCGGTAAGCCCCTCACTTCCATGTCTGAGAATAATCTGGTAGCTTGTGATGATCTAGAATTATGCGGCCAACCGTACAAGATGCTTGATGGTTGGGGCAGTGAGATCTAATGATCAGTAGCTGTCCGATGCAATTTTGTTACGATTTGGTTATTATTCCGAGTCTCACTTGGATGTTCATTACCTGCATTTGATACTCAATTAACACAAGTTTCTAATACAGGCCTGAAAAATGAAGACCAAAGAGGAGACTACATGGAAGTTTTCTGTTGGATGTACAGAGAGACAAGTGGAGTGAAATAAGGATACTTGGAAGACGTTGCTCAGAGATTCAGCCCAAGAAATTCAACAAAGTTGAAGAAAAAACCCTCTATTTCCAACCTAGGCTTGGTATTTGGGAATGGAGGCAGGACAGGAGAAAGATTCTTTTTCTAATTACACAGATCACCATATATTCTTATCTGTTTTTTGATTTTTTATCCAACGATGAAAGTTGTAGTTCCTGTGACGTAGATTTGCTGTTTTGCAACAAATGAGTTGAGATTCAATTCTAATGCAAATATCTTTATGTGTCTTGTTACTTGTCTGGTGCAATTATATTTTCTGAAAAGAGAAAATATAAATAACAACCTGAAGGCAAGTTACCTCTCTTTTTTGTTCTTTTCGATTTAATGTTCTTCAATGGTTAAATTGTAATGTACAATACCCCTTCAATAAAACAAATACCCTAACTAGCACAAAAAAAAATAAAAAAAATTCCTGATTTTTCACCCTGAACACATCATCTTCTTTATTCTCTGCTCTAATTAAAAATAAAAATAAAAAACCCAAAAACACTTGGATCGAATGTGTCATCGTCTTCGACTGTGTTTGCAAAAGACAACGCTTTCTTAGTCTGCAACTTTCGACAACCATAGATTATTGTTGAAACGTCAAGAGCTGTTGGCCCATCATTTTTATTGAAAAAACTTAAGAAATGTTCCAATAACTTCTAACCACCCATTTCCAACCTCAAAACTAAATTTAATTCGCTCAAGAAATAAATAAATAAATAGAATTTAATGAATGAAAAAACTAAAATATATTTTCAGGCTTCCATATAATTTTTCTTACTATTTCATGGTTGTGATCAACGCCAAGACTCATCTCTCTAACGAGAACACATCCACACCAAAATTATTAGTTTTTGTGACATGAATGGCCTTTGGAGCCATTATCCCCACCCCACCCCACCCCGTGGCGTCAATCTACATGAATTCTAAATTAGAATGGTTTTTTATTGTATTATACTATTTACTAAAACTCATTTGCAATATAGATTGTATTTAGATATGAGCTCACGTTAGGCAGTGAGATAATATTTTTTTGTGTGGAAAAAAAAATGTCTAAACAAGATAACTATGTTATAAATAAATAAGAAAAATACTAATGAACAAAAATAGTATAAATCAATAAAAAAATTGACAATGATAATAAACTAATAAATGTTTTTAAAAATATCACTATGTCTATAAAAATAACTTAAGAAGTATGTAATTGGATAAGAAAAATGACAAATAAAACCAATATTGAGTCAATCCAAGATAACATGATAAATATATAAATTAGATAATAAAAACTGAGTTCATTTATGTCATCACAAAACTTGTGCTACAAGTTATAAGATTGAGTTAACTCGATAGAAAATAAATTTAAAAAAATCACAAAGCTTTTTTATTTAAAAAACTAATATTAAAAAATAAAATCAGAAAAAAAAACACAAGCAACAACAATTTTTCAAACTTATAACTTGAGTCATTAGATTGGAAATACCGTATATGAAAAAATAACGAAACTCAATTCTCAACTAATCTAACACTCTAAAATGAATTATCATTATTATTATTGTTAGTATTATTATTATTATTATCATCATTATAATAATAATTATTGTTATTATTATTATTATGAGTATCACTATTACTACTATTAATAATAAGTAATATCATTACAATTATTATTGCTATTAGTATTATAATCACTACTATTATTGTTATTACTACTACTACTATTATTGTTATTATCATTATTATAATTTAACGATTACTATTACCACTACTACTAATACTATTATTATTATTGTTGTTGTTGTTATTTATTTAAAATAATATTTGAAATCTTGTCATGCTTGATATTAATTTTTTTTTTAAGGAAAGGATGGCTTGCTTTGTAAAAATAAAAAAATAAAATTAGTCACCTAATAACTTTGTTTAATTGCAGGATAACCTACAAGTGTATGTCTCCTAGGCAACTTTCAGATGGGTGAGAACCACCTCATGTGATACAACAATATGTAATAAAGCAACCCTTCATTTTAACCTTGAGGGATGTAACTCAACTAGTCAGGCTCTAAGTTTACTTTTTAGATGTTACTAGTTCGAGTTCCACAAATCTTAGGGTCATTGAAAGCTTACATGGTTATTAACTTTAGGACCCATGAGATTAGTTAAGGCATATGCAAGCTAGTCCAGACACCCATGTTAGTAAAAAAAAGAAAAGCAACCTTTTATTTCGCATAATAATCAATACTCATCTCACACACATGTAAGAATTCCATATGCTTTGCTTGTCTCTAATATGAGTTGTTTAATCAACCAATTTGTTTAAAAATAGTTGCATATGCTTTACTTGTTTGTAATATGCTTTCTCTCACACTATTAAGTTGTTTCATAAATGGTTTTTTTTTAAAATATTTTTGTTGTTATTTATTATTTTTGTATTTTTTAATTATATTATTTAAATAACTAATTTAATCAATAACTCGGATCTCAAATTTTTTTTCCTTGCCCACAGCAAAATGTCAGCCATAAGTTTAGTAATAAACTATATAAAGTGTTAGAAATATTTGAAGGATAAAATAAAAAATGGAACATGGGAAGCATGGTGGAAGACAAATCTTATTTATATAAATATTATTACTCTCTTAAGAGAGGATGTCTCAATGGACTTGGACTTAGACTTGCAATTCTCCATATATATATTTATATTAGTCTAGGATAATTCAAAAGACTTAAAAGATAAATACATATTTAATAGTGACATGCATATACCTAGGAGACACCTAGTATAAATAAAAGACAGTTTGAATGAAGACTTCAAAATTAATTCCAACACTTCCCCTTAATTTTGAAAGTCATACGGTTCTTTAAATTTAAATTTTAATAGAGGATACTCTTACAAAATTTTTTAATATCTTCTTTATCTTTTTTGTTATATTACATCTATAATTAATTTTCTAGGATTAACTTTCATCTTCAACTTGGGAAGATCTCTCTTGCACCTTTGTCTCGGCCACTCCTTTTATCATGCTTAGCAAATGACATTCCATGCTATTTCTTCAATTTGTTTTTCTTTAATTATTGTCTTTGTTTGAACATGGCTACTCCTAGTCATATTTCTCCTTTTATGGTTGTTATTACAATTCTCTAGCCAAACATCTCTTTTTAATGTTTGGCTTTTTAAGTGACCATTTTATTTCTTTAGGCTGCTACCTTATTCTTGTCATGACTCTTTGGCCATTTCTTATCTCTTATAAGAAAAGTTCTCTTCTGTTCATCATATATGGTCTCTCTTATAACACATCTCATCTCTTGTGCAAGAAGTTGTTAACTTGCACTAAGCCTTTTTCTTAGGCTTCTTTTATCTTCTTTTGATGCAATTCAGGCTGTTGCCTTCTTCTTGTCATGACTCTTTGGCCATTTCTCATCTCTTGTAGGAAGAGTTTTTCTTTTCTCTTCTTGATGCAAGGTCCCAATTCTCTTACTAGGAGCTATCATCTTGCACCTTTATTGTTCTTTTTCAGACATCACTTGTCCATCCACTCTATTTTGGGATTTCACACTCTAGTCTCTCTAAAAGCTCACTATATTGAACTAGCTCTAATAACATGTTAAAAATATATTTGAAGGAGAAAAATAAAGCATGGGAACATGAGAAGCATGGTGGAAAACAAATCTCATTTATATAAATATTATTACTCTCCTAAGAGAGGAAGTCTCAATGGACTTGGACTTAAAATACTCCGTACATATATTTATACTAGTCTAGGATAATTTAAAAGACTTAAAAGATAAACACATATTTAATAGTTACATGCATACACCTAGGAGACACCTAAGAGACACCTAGGAGAACTAAAAGATACTTTGAATGAAGACTTCAAATACCAAATTTGTTGGAAAAAGAATAACAAAATAGAGAAGGGGTTATTACTCATAATTTGCTGGAATACAATACACTAAATAATGATACTCTCACACATTTCATTATCAAATCCAAATATATATATAAACATTATAAAATATCTTTTACAATCTTCAAAGTACTTGATTAATATTAAACTCTTCAATACTTACTCTAGATTCATAGTATCTCTATATTCATAGTATTTCTAGATTCATAGTATTCCAATGTGGATAGTTATTTATTGTACTAACTTCAATCTACTTAATCTTGGTAAACAAGTTTAATAACTAATATTCTCCCTCCTTGAACTTGTTCCATCCATCTTCATGATTCCAAGCTTCTTCTTCAAATAACAGAAAACATTAGTCTTCAATGACTTTGTAAAAATATCAACAAATTGTTCTTTTATGTGCTTTTTGTTGAAGTGAAATCAAGTTTCAAAATGTTTTGAATGTTTATGGTGAACTTGATTCTTTGCAAGTCCTATAACAAACATGCTATCAACAAAGACTTGTGTAGCCTTGCTATGTTTTTGTTGCAAATCTTCCATCATTTTTCTTAGCCATATTGCATAACACACATACGATGCAGCAACAATGTATTCTACTTCACATATGGCTAATGCAATAATAAATTGTTTCTTTGATATCTATGTGAAAGTTATTTCTCTCATAAAGAATATAAATCCAGTTATGCTTTTTTTGTTTTTCAAGTTTCTTATCCAATCACTGTCACTGTAATATGTAATTTCAAGATTCTATAAGGATGAATAAAACAATTCATAACTTGTAGTTCCTTTAACAAAACAAAAAATCTTCTTTGTTGTCTTCAAATGTGAATTTCTTGGCTTCTCCATATATTTGTTAATCAAGCCAACTCCAAACAAAATGTTTGGTCTGGTGCATGTTAGATAATGTAGGCAACCCACAATACTTTTGTAGTATATAGGATTAACTAAATCTCTTTCTCCTTGTTTAGTTAACTTGGTTTTATATTCAACTGGATTGTCTGTTGGACAACAATTTTTCATTGCAAATTTCTTCAAAACTTCTGTTGCATGTTTGGCTTATGAAATAAAGATTCCATCATTGCACTGCTTCACTTCTAATCCCAAAAAATAAGCCATAAGACCTAGGACTGTCATTTCAAATTCCTTCACTATGGATTACTTGAAGTCTTGAATCATAGTTGGATTATCCCTTATGAAAAGTATATCATCAACAAATAAACAAATAAACATTACTCTGCCTTGTAAACTTTTCTTTATATATAATGCATGTTCATAAAGGCATCTTGTAAATCCTTTCTGTGAAAGATAGCCATCAATTCTAGAGTTCCATGCTCTTGGTGCTTAGT